AAAAAAAAAAAAAGAACACTGAGGTGGGGGAGCAGGAGAGGGACACCAAGTGGTAAGGCTAGGAGCTTTGGGACTATGTGGTTTGTCAGGCCTATGCCCTGCCCTGACCCCCGCCCCCCCAATCTTCCTTTCACGTTTGCTCTCAGAAAGGGGAAGAGTACAGGGGCTTGGGAGCCAGTCAGAGAGGAACCAAGGGGGGATGGGGTGGCCCCAGGAACAAGAATGGGGGTGAGGGGAGAGGCCAGGCTAGGTCGTGAAAACAGCCGTGTCCCACATCCATTGGGAAGTATTTTCCTGGAAAGCTGGCCAGGAACTAGGAAGATCCTGGGCAGTGGCTGGAAGGGAAGGTTAAGGTGCCACCAGCAGAGAGGCTGAAGTTTGAGGTGCCTCCAGGAGGTTCTCCAGAGCCCACCCTAGCCATGAGTCCAGGGGCTCCCCAGGAGGGTGGAGAGGTCAGACATGCAGAGAGGACCAGGGAGGGGAGGCCTCTGTGGCTTGGCCCCCCTCTTCACCCCTGAGGCTGCTGCTACTGAAGATCTGCTCGGTTCATCTCCCCCTCCCCCCCCCCACTCCTCCTCTCAGTCCTATCTCCTTTCTGCTTCTCTTCTCCTGTCCCTCCTTCCATTGTCGTCACTGTCCCTGACCCCTCTCCTCCTCTTCCCTGCCTTCGCCTGTCTTTCCCTCCCTCTCAGAGTCCTCCTCCTTCTCCCCTGTTCTCCACCCTCTGGTTTCCCAGCTTACAAACTGCTTCGCTGCTGGATAAAAATAGCAGTGGCAGCGGCCAGGCCAGGCCTAGCGCCAGGTAGAGCCTGAGCAGGCAGGGGGACCAAACAGGACTGCCCAGAGGGGTCAGACTGAGCAGTCCTGAGAGGCAGGGTCAGAAGAGGGTCCTGCTGGACTCCAGAGCTTGCCAGCTCTGTCTTCCCTGCCCCCTCCTACCTACCCCCCAAGAGTCTGAAGAGGCCTGTGGGGAAACAGGGTGGCGATAAGGCCTCACACTGCTTCTGCCCCCAGCAAGCCTCCGAGGGAGGGAGCTGTCAGCCAGGCAAAACCAAGAACGCTGTCACCATGACAACCAGTCACCAGCCACGGGACAGGTACTGAGGGACCTGGGCTGGGGATCCAGGGGAGTGGAAATGGGTTTCCAGGGGGGCTGGGTGCCGTGTCCTTTGGAATTTGGAGTTGTCACTGCTTGCTGGCCTTCCAGCCCTGTAGCTGTGAGTCAGGTCTGCATCAGGAGTGAGGGCTATGCATGCCTTGGCTGGATGTTGGCTGGGGTGTCTGTAGCGGGGGCCAGGGTGGGTGGGTGCCAGCCCTCCCTGGCCTGTCAGTGTTTCCACTGTTGCTCTCTAGCCAGCCAGCAACTTCTGGCCTCCTCCGCCACCATTGGGGAGACGTTTGGCAGTACTCTTCATTCCAGAGCACATCTGGCAGAACCCGTCCCTCCCTCAGGGCTGCTTCTGCCTCAGATGACCTCTGCCCACCCTGGTCCTTGCTCTGACCTTCTCTTCCCCACCTCTGGAGCCTGTGAACTCCCTCAAGTTAGACCCGCATCTGTGATCATACACGTATGTTTTGGAGGAAGAAGCTGTAGCTTGATTCAAATTCTCCAAGGAGCCTAGGTGCCAACAAAGTTGAGGAAGTCATGCCTCAGGCCCAGAGCTCTTCAACTCAGGCCCCTGACCCCATCACCTCTCCCTGCCCGTTCTGTCTCCCACCTGTGCCAGAGGCCACAGAACTAGACCAATGCTAGCTGTGGGACCTCCAGTGCTTAGCCTGATCTCTCTGGGACCGTTTCCCACCTGTAAAATAGAGGTGAGGTTTATTTGGATGGGAGAGAATTGAAGGAGACAGTAAGTACAGGCCCCAGGTTGGCTCCCTCCATCGTCTCCTTCACCCAGGCTGCCTGCCCACCCCTTCCCAGCCTCACCACTCTCAGCCGTTCTCTGAACTACTTTCTATCTCCTTCACCTGTTGCACTCATCCAGCCCTACTCTGACCCTCTATCGTGTGCGACAGATATTGGCTGGGTGTTTCTCCCTTCATCCTGGGTCCCTGAATCAAGCCCTTAGCTCTCTTTTTCAAGGTGGGGAGTATATAAGGGAGTTGGGGGGCTGCAGGTGTAATGGCTTAGACCTGCCTAATCAGGGCACTCACCCAGGCCCTCCCGGTGTGAGGCCACGCCCTGTGCTGTCACCAGACCTGTCCTCACTGCTTGTGCTTTGTCCCTGCCATCTCTGTGAAGAAAGCAGATGTTGGCTGTGGGGAGGGTATGGTAGACATATCTGGAGACCACAGTGAGGGGGTAGTGGCCCATCCCAGACAGGCCCTGAGGTGTAGGGCTTGGGGCTGTGCACCGGCCAAAGCTGGAGCTGCACCTATTTATACTCTGGGGCCCAGTGGCATCCAGTGGCCAGATACCTCCTACCCTACCCTAGGTGGTGTGATCTACAAAGCCAGTTTTGTCTGGACCCGGAAAAAAACAGCTCCCTCACTTCCCAGCTGCCCCAAGGCACCACGCCTGCCTGTCCCACTAGGTCCCAGTGGTCTGGGAGTTTCCTGACCTCAGAATCTTCCTTGGGGAGCCACACAGTTCCCTGCCCAGACTGCATAATCACTTCCAGCCCTCCCAGCAGGGGTGAAAAATACTTGCTGTTTGCTTTCTTACTCAGCCGCCACCCCCAGCCTTTAGCAGGATTTCCAAAACCACCTCGGGATGGATGTGTGGGTCACATTGGTTTCCAAGCCTGCAAGGTTTCCTTGAGTCTTTGGGGGGCTGAAAACCATTATCCTGTGACCATGCCCTTCAGTCCTGTGTCTCTGGTACCCCCCACCCCTCTGGACTCTGCTGGGCCCTTTTCCCTGTCCCAGTATTCCTCTCCCTCCACACACACCCATAGGAAGACACATGCACATGGACAAAAACAGAGATGCCTTTTGCCCTGGGACAGCTGGAGACTGAAGTTCAGGGAGGGGTGGGCTTCCCCGGGTTTGATTTGGGAAGGAGAGTGGGATGGTGGTTCACTTGGCCCCTCCTTCCTCTCCCATCCCCAGGTACAAAGCCGTCTGGCTTATCTTCTTCATGCTGGGTCTGGGGACCCTGCTCCCCTGGAATTTTTTCATGACAGCCACTCAGGTGAGACTGGGAGGACTGGACGCCAGGGGGCATATCCACTGGGCATGTAAGGCCTGGATCTGTACTCATGGGCACAGGGAGAGGGGTTCCAACAGTCCTCTCTGCATCCCCACAGTATTTCACAGACCGCCTGGACCGGTCCCAGAATGTGTCCTTGGTCACTGCTAACCTGAGCAGGGACATCCAGGCCTCGCCCATCCCCACAGTACCCCCTCGAGCACGGAGTACTCTGAGTGCCATCTTCAACAATGTCATGACCTTGTGTGCCATGCTGCCCCTGCTGCTCTTCACCTGCCTCAACTCATTTCTGCATCAGAGGTGAGCACCCAGGCCTGGCTCAACCCTTGCCTGCCTCCTGTGGCCCCTGGGCTGAGCCCCTGCTTTAACTACGCCTCTCTGCCGCCTTGGCCTCTCCCATAGGATCCCCCAGTCTGTTCGGATCCTGGGCAGCCTGACGGCCATCCTGCTGGTATTCCTGATGACTGCTATCCTGGTGAGGGTGCACCTGGATGCCCTCCCCTTCTTTGTCATCACCATGATCAAGATCATGCTCATTAACTGTAAGCAGGCTGGGAGGGGACCTGGGGCAAAGACCTTTTCACATACGCCCACCCTTCCTTCAGACCACAGGTAGCCAGACAGGAGCCCATTCCAACCCCCAGAGGAAGTGGATGCCATGAGCAATCAGGGTTCAGAGGCCTGGGCAGGCGGGAACCAGGACTGAGAGTCGGGTGGAGAGAAGGGCCACTGAGTGTCAAGACTCACTGGGGGGCCGGCCGAGTGGCACGTTGGTTAAGAGCTGGCTTGGGACGCCAGAGGCCCCGGTTCGGATCCCACATATGAGGGCCAGTGACACTGCCCTCTACAGCTAAGATGCTGAACAACAGCTCAACCTGGAGCTGGGCTGCCNAGCGTGTGTGTGTGTGTGTGTGTGTGTGTGTGTGTGTGTGTGTGTGTGTGTGTGTGTTGGGGGAGGGAGAGGGAGGGGAAGGGTGAAAAGCAGAGGACCAGAGAGGAAGTGGCACTGAAAAACGCGGGGGCCGCTGGAAAGGAAAACGGTGCAATGTGGAAGAAAGTGGTGTGGGAGGGGGTTTAGGGAGAGAGCGCGGAACATCTGAGATGGAGTACGGACGTGGGGGCAGCCGGGCCTGTCTGAGCAGGTTTGTCACTGAGAGAGCCCCGAGACGAGCTCTGTAGGATTTGTGAAGCCTGGTTCCGAGGCAACTAGGGGTATCCGTGTGAGACTGTACACTCCAGAGCCGCGTGCTCCTTGATGGGGTAGGGTTTAGTGGGGCTCAGCCCAGAGAGGTGCTAGCTACAGAAATAATGCAAGGTGTGGGCCCAGCGGCCCTGGTGCGGGGAGCAGAGTCTCGGGATGGGGGCCCCTTCGGGTCCCATGCAGCTGTGCGGGTGGCAGGGGCAGTGCGGGGCGGGGCCCAAGAGGCCGCTGAGGAAGGCAAGGGAACCGGCGGAGGCGGGCGGGGGGGCGCCCGGGGCGGGCCCAGGCAGGGGAAGGAGGGTTTGAATGCTCTGTGGCTGGCGCGGGAAGCGACCAGAGAGCGCGCGGATCTCATCGTGGGAGGACTCCTTCCCAGCAGGTGCTGCCCAGGGCTGGGGGGCCGGGGATCCGGGGACCACCGGGCGGAAGGCACCACTTCCTGCCTGCCACGAGGGCAGGGAGGCCGGGCCTGGCAGCTACGCGGCCAGGAGAGGAGACGCCGATTAGGGCTCCCCCCCCCCCAAGCGGCATGGAAGGGTCGGGGCGAGGGGGGACCCTGCGGGGACCGGGACCCGAGCGGTGCAGGGACGGCACGGCTCCTGGGCCAGAAACTGGCTGTCGCTGAGCTGACCTCCGCAAAGGGCGAGTAGATGGTTAATCTCGATCAATCTTGGTACAGGGGAGGGGCTGCGCCGCTAACTACCCCGCGTGAGGAGAATGGGGCTGAGGGCACGCTGAACTGAGGTAGAGGAGCTGTCTCTAACCTCCGCCTTTTATGGCCAGTTCGTGACCCTCACCTCGCCTTCCTGGTCACGTCCTCTTTTACTCCCCAAAAGAGGACCCTTCCTTCACTCAGAGAAAGGACAAGGACACACACACCCCGTTTTCTTCCCAGGGCAGAGCAGTCCTGGGTGAGGGCTGGGGGCTGGTCCCACACTGCCCCTCACCCGTCTTGGGGCCTCCCCTCTGCCCAGTCCTCTGGTAACCTGCCTTTAGATCCCCCCACTTGTCCACCTGCCTGTGTGAGCTCTCCATGCCAGGATGCGTGTATAATGGGGGGGGGAGGGGGAGGGAATGGGGGTTGCCTTATACCTGACACTCATGTCAGGCTGGAGGTCACTTCGGCCCCCACCTTATTGCTCCCCCTAGTTAGAGTAGAGCACCCCCACCTCCCAGTATTTTATACCTCTCTCCCCACCCCAGAAGGAGCCTAGAATAAGCTGTCCTGTTGAATTTGAATTCCACCTGATTCATTCACTAGATCCGTCAACCTCTCTGAACTTTAGCTTTCCCTAAATGGAGACAGTTTAGAATTAGTTTTTGGGTGGTTGTGGGGGTAGAGCTGGTAGCTGCAGGTTGTGGCTGGCCCCATATGAGATCCTGGGGAGCAGAGCATCTGATGCTACCACAAGAGGGTGCCTAGAAGCTGAGCTGCATGAGAGGTTGATGGGAGCCCGGGTGTGGGGAGGTGCTCAGGTTGGTGGCTGCTTTCAGGGCCCCCTCTGGGCTGACCAAAGCAAAGCTTGAGGGATACCAGACACCCTGAGCTGTTTATCCCTGGTTGCTGCTGGGCAAAGGCAGACAGGAGTAAAACACCTAGACTGGCCTGCTGCGGATCAGGATGTGGGGAGGGCGGGAAGCTGTCCTTGGAGTTGAATTGTGCCCAGAACCGGGGTGGGTTTCCTGAGAACAGAGAGCAGGGGTGTTAGCTGGGGGATAGGGCAGAAAGTAATACTCCTCTGAGCCTAAGGTAGATTTCACTAAGGAAAGGGACATACCCTATTCTGTCCACCCAGTCTCTGCTCTGGTTTGAAACCACCTGTTCTTTACTGCTAGGAGCCTTTTGTGTGGGGTGGGGGTAAGGTGGGGCACAGGACATGCTGAAGTGAGAAGCTGGGGGTTCCCCTCCCTGCTTTCTAATAGAAAACAAGTCCTGAGCCTTCTCTTTCCACCCCTCAGGGTAGCGCTCTCTTGCCCCCATCCCTCTAGAAAATGTAGAAACTTGTTCATCGCCCTGCCCCCAGTGCCTGGCTAGCATGCAGAGGTCCTCGGTAAATATTTGTTGAAAGGATGTGAGCCTGCTACTCCCTTCCCTGTCTTACAACTCAGGTGTGGGCTGGGGTGCTTAGGAAGACTTTTAGAGAGAGGAGTTTACCCAGGGAGGGGTTGAGAAAACTTACTGGGACAGACAGAAAAGCCCATTAAGGGTCTGGGGTCCCCAATCAACCGACCTTGTCTGTTTGCCTTGGGCTGGGACCTGGAGCACTGGCTGTACCTGTGAGTTGACGCACCCCCAGCTCCCCTGCTGAGACTGTTGGGTCTCTTATCTCCCAAGCTACAGGGCTGTTTGTGTGTTGTTGTTTTTTTTATCTCCCTCGTTGAGTGTGTGTAAGCTTCTCAGAATGGGGAAGCTTCCTCTCCCAGCAAGGCCTGGGGGGTTCTCTCCCCATATGCCCTGTGCCACTGTCTTCATTCTGGACCCTTAAACCCAGGAGGAGCCCATGGACAAGGCCTGCCACCTGAGCTGGAGCTAGGACCACCTCCCAGGGACTTCCCAGGCCCTCTGCTCCCATCCTTCTGCTGGCAAGTCTGGGCGTCTGGTGAGTGCTGGGCCCAGGTGGGCGAGGGGGAAAGCCAGTCCTGGCTCCTGCACGTGGCGGAACGCACCAGCGCATGCCTGTCTGGCTTTCCATGCTATCCAAAGGGAAAGCTGGTGCCAAAGAGGTCCTAGCTACGGAAATAACACGAGGGGGGAGCAGGAAAAGAACACTGAAAGGGCCGGCTGAGTGGCTCAGTTGGTTAAGAGCTCGCTCAAGAGTTTGAGCTCTGAGCAACAGCGGTTCAAGTCAGCCCGAGCTGAGCAGTCGT